AGGACTGCAGGACAGAAAACTACAAACATGCAAATGCAGGATCAACATGACCTACAGAGGGCTCAACGTAGCAGACAGAACCATATCTTTTCATGTGTGTAAGATTCCCCAAAAATATGGTATGCAAGTAAGACCCTATTAAGTACAGTTTGATTCTTTGTGAAGCAATCTGTCTTTCTTTTCTTCACAAAGCCACTCAGGTCTTTGAGAGGGATTCAGACAGACAGCCTTTTCTGAAGTGCTGATCAAAGCTAAATAAATTCTGACTTGTTCCATGCAAAATGTAACATGAGCCTGCAGCGATCCTTCTGCCTTGATGTTATACAGCAGTACTGCTTATATGTTGTAAAGTCAATACGCCACCATAGCAGTGATAGTACTGTCAAATGCCTTCATTGCATTTGGCAAATTTAAGCATTTTTTTAATTCCTCCTGCATTTCAGACTTAATTGACCTACACTTCTTAATTTAAACACAATTGGCTTATTTTAATCTACCCTTCCTCCTTTCCCCACTGTCAAATCAGTGTCATGCTGGATAGAGGCTTGGGCTTCAGTGGGAGAGGCTGATATGAAAGCCTCATGCCTGCGTCTGCCTGCCACAAGGCCCCGTTCGTGTGATATGAAAAGCTACGCCACACGCTCCACCACCTGAGTCTACGATACTGCTATTGATACTAATGATGAATGGCAGCAGATGACATTGCCATGGGTACATTTACATTTCATGTCGAAATCTCAACCGAATGTTAGCAATAATTACATCGCAAGTTAAAGATTTTTGAGACAGAATTGTATGAAATTATTTATGAACTACAAATTATTTTGTTTTTATTATTAAAAATATGATGAATGCTGGCATGTATAAGCACTACAATATTTGTGGACAAGAAATTGTAAGCTGTATGCTTTTTACTCTGGAATTAACACAAGTGGGGGTGATGTGTATGATATCACACCTAACTATGAATACCAATGAGAATTAAACACACTGTTAAACTGACCTTTACTTCCCTAAATCTATTCACATAACATGATCCTAAAAACCTGTGTTCCTTAAACATGTTCCAATTTCTTCAGCAAAAACTAACTGGACCTTGAAGCTTCAGCTGTGTTCATCTTCACTGTGCTCAGTTCTAAAGGTCAAATGAACAGCGGCTTTTAAAGCAACATTATGAAAACAATGTTATTTCTTGCACCACCTGATATAAATTCAGCTCATCTATCACAAGAAAGGCCCCTACTGTTCTATCATCGCCAATTACACATGGCTGGGTTCAAAGAACTGTTATCTTTCCCATTACCTGCTATATGTAAAGTTATATGGAAGGATTTATTGGTTTGCTGCACATAGGTGACATATATAACACTGTATATATAATGGTTCTTTCACTCTACACTTTTCCTCACTGTAGTACACAGTAATCTTCACAATATTAGAGCACCTCAAAGCTCATGTATTTAGCTTTGCACAGACAAAAAACTAGTATAGCTATTTGAGAAATTAAATTTTATCTTACATTCTTACATAAAAATAACATTCAAAAATAAAAATACAGTTCCGTGTTTCATGGAAGTGGCTATGTCAGGTAATTAATTGGAATTATAAACCTGACTAGTCAGTTTATTTCTAGATGGAAAGCCACAATGTACCAAAATAAATTTCAGATTAAACGTAAAATATTAATTTGTAATTTTCTGTGTGAGGATCCTACTACTAAACAGTATAAACGTATTTTATCAATAGTGGGAATATGTTCCTTTTCCTTTGCTTCTTTAAATCAACTGCATGTGTGCCATATTAAAATTAATTAACGATACTAATTAGTTTCCAGCGACTTGATTTCCAGTGCACAATAGGGGTAAAGGAGTGTTCTAATAAACTTGCTCACAACTGTATACAGTGTACCTCGAATTAGCCTTAATTGTCCCTGAGGAAACTTGCTTTGCACATTAAAAGCTCATAAACATACAGTTACATATACTGTGTGACAATAATACACTACAACAACAATACACAACCATCACACAAAACAGCATTCAACAACATCACTATATCAGAACTCTTCCAGTACAATATGGCTTAAAAACAGACAATTAACTTCTGTAAAAACCTTCTGTAATTACATTTCTAGAGTGACATCTTGTGAAAATAAAATGGCACCATTTGTCGAAAAATCAGATAAGATCAGACGTAGTCCTATACACAGCATGTTACACACATGTAGCAGATGTGAAGCATCTGGAAATGATACAGAAAAACTGAGATGAAGTTCTTTTCAAATCTATTCCAAGGAATCAGCGTTTTCTAAAAAGCTTTCATTGTCATGAAACCAAGGCTGGACTGGCACAGTGTTATTTCACATTGCCCTCATAACACTGTATGGCGATATACCAGAATAAAGCAGTAAAGCACATTAGTTAAGCTCAAGCATAAAAAACAGAAAATAACCGTGCTAAACCCATGTTCATAGTATGACCATAGTAAATTTCCAGGAAACTGCAAAAAAAACACATCAATGTACCATTGAATGGTACATGGTGAATTCATAAGTGTGTACAGAGTCAAGACACGATACATGTAAAATCACCTCACATGGCCTGATGGCATTTACTTTACTTAATGCCCTGGCACTGCACTAAAGGAAGACATCAGAAATGTCAGCAGTTGAATAAGAAACCGAATAATACTGGAGGGAGCAGACATGATGGACCTATTGGCTTACATTTCGTCAATGGTAATCTACCCCATAAAAAGAGGGCCTATGACATTTCTCTAAAGACCCTAAAATTGTTAATGAGCTAAAGCAAAAAGATGATGAAGCGATTGACGGC